TAGCTTACTGCCAGACAACTTCCCCACCCACCACAGGTATGAACATCCCTAAACAACCTACTAGACTATATTGGAATAAATCAGCCCACCATTATTCTGCTAGCAGGAGAGATTAGCTAAATCTCTACCATGTCTCTCAGGTCAGCCCTCGTGCCGGTACAACTGCGGCCGGCACCTGGGAAGCTGCTCCTGCTCAAGCTCTTGCCGATACAATGGAAACTGTTGTCATGACTTCTACTGTAAGTATTGTGTTATTCAAACCTCAGTACACTTTCATCACAGTTTCCACCAACAAGCAATACTGAAACCCATGTTGTTGTTTTCTTCAAACAGCCTACTGCCAAGCCACAACTGACATGCCAGCCACAACTGACATGCCAGCCACAGGTAGGATCCTCAAGTGTGTACCACGAGCCTGCTGCAAATATATTTCCCTGTAATGACACTCGTGTTATGTTGTCCACCTTTAGTAAGCCCCTGTGGAGGCTCTCTGTTCGGCTCTGGTACCTTCTCCAGCCCGAACCACCCGAACCACTACTACGACAACGCCTACTGTGTCTGGCAGCTCAGGGCCGCGTATGACCAAAGAATCTTCCTGTCATTCACGTACCTGCAGTGAGTGAACAATAGACTGTTGGAGATCATTTGTGTGAATGAGCAGTATTATTATGTGAACTACAAATATATAAAAAAAATGTCATGACAAGAAGTATATACAACATTGTTAACTTGTGGAGAATTAGGCTCTCAATTGATATCAAAGACTCATTGGAACTATTTTTGGAGTTTTGCTTCAATAAGTCAGTAATTTATGGCTTTTATCATCTTTTAAAAAAAACAAACAGATTGGAGAACTGCTGCTCCTGTGACTATATTGCAGTCTACGATGGGCCGTCTGTTAGCTCACGATATCTGGGGAAAGTGTGCAACAACAACAACAACAACAACAACAACAGTCTGAGTACCTTCTACTCCACCTCAAACTACTTGACTGTGCTCTTCCGGACTGATAGATCTGTGGTTGGCCGAGGGTTCAACGCTGACTTCATAAGCTCTTTGCCACCAAGCTCAGGTAGAATCATGGTAGATTTAATAAGAAGGGTCTGACAAAAAAATCTTGGTTGAATCATTTGGTGCGCAGCGGTGCCGTGCACTAAATGCAAATGTCACAATTGTAACATGCTCACAATGTTTTAGCATGTAATGTTTACCATCTTCATTTAACACAAAGTACAGTTGAAGCTGATAGTTGTTGAGATATTTCAGTCTGGACCGAAGTGGTGGACAGCCCAACCGACCCTCGAACCGCACCACTGGCACTACTAAAGACTTAAATGTTGTGTAATCTTACACCTTTATCCTAAAAGTAACTCAAGCTGTTGTAAATATCTTGTGAACGTGGTCCTTTGTCAGGTCGAGTGGACTGTTCCTCAGACAACATGAACATTGTCATCCAGAGGACTTACCTGAACTCTCTCGGCTACGACGGCCAGAGTCTGTACCTGAACGACCCGCACTGCAGACCCCAGGTTTCGAGCTTTCAGGTGGTCTTCAACTTCCCCATTAACACTTGTGGCAACGTTCGAAAGGTAGACAACTCATTACCTTCTGGAAAACATTAACAACATACAGTACTTCCTGATACAAATCAGTGTGATGCAAGAAGAGAGTGTGACCATCTTCCACTATATTCTACCTTGAACAGTTTGAGAATGGCAGAGTTGTGTACACCAACACTCTCCGTGCCTTCACCTCCAGCTCCGGGGAGATCACTCGGCAGTCTCACCTTAAGATGAGCGTGGGCTGTCGGATGGATCAGGACTCAGTGGCCCAGATGATGTACATTGTCCGTCACCATGATAACAGCAGCATTACCGGCACAGGCAGATTCAACACCAGCATGGATTTCTACACATCCAGCAGCTTCTACTATAAGGTGTTTTCGGGTGTTTGTAAAGAAAATCCCTAATGTAAAGACTTGCATGCCATGCTGATGTTTTGCTTTTACACTCACAGGTAACTCAAGTCCCATACCAGGTGACACTCAACCAGAACTTGTATGTTCAAGTGGACCTGAGGAGGGGTGACAGCTCCCTGGTCCTCTATCTTGACACCTGTGTGACCTCACCATCGCCCCACGACTTCCAGACCAGATCTTACTACCTGGTCCGCAACGGGTAAGATGGGAGTCTGCTTTGCCACATTGTAGATTAAGTAACCACTGCTACTTTATACTTATTGCAGAAGAAGAGTTTTTGGCCTGTGACTCTTTACAAAAAAGCAGTTGGGGCTTCTTTTTAGGTCTATAGGTTGTCAGCAGTTCAACCAAAGAAAGATTTCCCTGATAAAGTCCAAAAAGCTAAATATAAATTTGTGTAGCAGAACTACTTTTGTTTCCTAGCCCAATAATTTAGTAACAACCCCTCAGATTATTCTGGCGACTCTTTGAAGGCCAGACACCTCACATTGCACTGGACTAACTAGCTGCATCAAAAATATACTTATGCATTGATGCATCAGTATAAATAATCAACAATGTAACATTTAATAACAGATGTTTTCTCCATAATGACTACTTTTACCTTTGATACATTAGTAAATTATGGTTTAGTACTTTTACTTAAGTAGGACTTTTAATGTGGGACTTTAACTTATGTTTTTTTCATGTGGAACTGGTACTCTTACGTACATAAGGGATCTGACAGTATACAACAAAAAAATAAATACATACATGTAGTAGTATTGTCCACAAACACCGTCTCTTGTTTCACCTTTAGCTGCCCTGTGGACAACACCTACCAGGCCTACATCACTGGCAGCCGTGCCTATGGCCGTTTCACATTTAAGGCCTTCCAGTTCCTGCGAGCCACAGAGTCAGTGTACATCCAGTGCAAGGTGCTGATATGCCAAGCCTCGGACTACAACTCCCGGTGCCGCCGTGGCTGCAACAAACGTGCGGCCAGAGACCTGGGGTCAGAACACGACAGCCAAACTCTGGTCCTGGGTCCCATCAAACTCAAAGGTCTGTGTCCATTTGCACCTTGTTTTGAATCCGATAGAGGATCAGTTGAAGAAACATATTAGGTTAGCAGTAAAGTAAGAGTCTCGTGATCTCAAGGTAACATGAGAATAAAACACATTTTTCTTCGCCAGACCCTGAAAAAAAGGAAGAGGAGACTCACAAGCAGAACCAGGCTTAACGTGATCCTACAATGAGAGGCTTCAGTCATCATTCTGTTCGTCGTGACACTGAATCATACTCACCATTTATTTTCCCTTTATCACAATACCTGATTAAAAGCATCATCAAAAGACAATGTGCATTGGTGTATTTCATTACTGTTAAATGAACATTCAATACGAATTAATAACACAACTATTATCGACTTCGGTTCTCGAATACAAAGAAGACAAAAGACGAAGTGCAACTCAGTTAGAAAACACTTTACTTATAAATTAGTAAGATTAATCCATCTCACAATGAAATGATTTGCCAACCCAGAGGGAGCGAGTGATCGCCATCATGACCCTACGACACACACAGAGAGAACATAAGGCAGTCGTTACTGGGATGCCCCTTGTTACTGGTTAGCATGGCAACAAGGAGATGGTCCTAAAAAACAAAACAGTGACAATGTTCTCCACGCATGTTGCTAAGCAACAAACAACAGTACCCAAGACGAAGAACAATCTCTTGCTAAAGTAGCAGTCTTACTGCGACATGAGTTTGCTTCTTTTTTTTTTTTGACACTGAACATCTATCCAACAACTCAGAATACAATACTCGGTAAATAGTCAGAAAACCACTGGGATCCATTTGATGAACGGGGGAATCTCAGCGTGTGTGTTATCACGAAAGGCAGAAAAAAAACGTGGCATCCCCGGTGCTACGTGAGACACATGAGACACAAGACGGGATGATTCTGTCCTAAACACACAGACACGGGATATCAAAGTGACTTCGTACAATATCAAAACATCAGAAGGTGACACGATGTGATTAAAAAGGATAAGAAACCCGTTCAACCAAAACACGTGAAGTTACCATGATGCTGGTCAAGGAAGGGCACTGAGTGAAGGAACGTCAACAACAACCCAACTCCTACTAAATCTAGTTCGACAACTTAACCGACTGACCTAAAACCACCGATACGTTTGGCCGGCTAGACGCCGTCCACATATTTTAGATTCCAAAGTGTCTTAGCAGCATTCATGGAGCAGAATTTTGGCCAAAAAAAAAAAAAAAAAGAAAAAAAAAAAAAAAAGAATGGCTACCATAGAAAACTACAATGGCCAAACTCTTTTTCTAAGGTTCTGGGCCTATTCATCACAGCAAGAAGAGGATATTTTAATAACATCTATTAATCTTCAAAAGTAACAGTCCATTATATCGTGGGCACACAAGAAAGTGACTATGTCAGGCACTGCAAAAGAATAGTAGTAATGCACCAAGCACTGAAATAATTTCAACAAGGCTAAAGTAAGATCAGTCCGGCATCAGTGTCATCAGAGCCAAATTTAAACATTCTAGGGAGGTTGAGAACTCATTTAGTTTCTTCTCTTTTTGTATTTTTCTAAAGGGACACACTGTTGAGGGTGAGAGTCGCTGTGTGAACAGCAGGAGTGTTATCACCTGTTGTCTGTCTTTTTTAGCTCACGTACTGAAGAGAAGCTTCAACATATCAACAGCAGTACATTTCTGAGCTATGTCTAACTTGATAAATTGCTGCATTAAATAAGGTTAATGAATTTGGCCAAGTAGGGAATTTGTTTTTCTGATTTATCACACCACAAATAAATTCTCAACCTGTTGAAAACACTGATCATCCCTTTATAATACACTTGAATGGGCACCTTTAATTACACATTAAACCATCTGAATGTTGACATTATACAACTTTCAAAGGCTAGGCTACATCAAGGCCAAGTAAAAGACCAATAAATAAAATGACTATGGAATTAATAAAACAAAACTGTCCTGTTAAAAGTTCTTTCAAAGTTTTCCTCAGTCATCCATCACTTGTGCTGCCCGCGGGCGAAGTGGCAGGCAAAGTCGTACTTGCTCTTGCACTTGTGGCCGCAGATGTTGCACTGGAATGGGTTCTCGTAGCCATGGCAGCCCATGTGGATGGTGTAGAGGATGTTGTCGGGGAAGTAGATGTCACAGTGCTGGCAGTGATGCAGCATGTGGGGGTCCTGGAGTGGGATGGACAGGCCTGGGGCCGGTGTACTGGGTTGGCTGTTGGAGATACTCGGGGTACTGGTGCGCCCACTGTGCTCGCTGCAGGGTCCCCTTCCAGGGCTGCAACTGCTGTGGGGAGGAGCCCGGGACTCCGGGCTGATTGGGGAAGAGGAGGAAGCATGGACCATGCTGGCAGACACAGCCACGGGAGCTGGGGCAGGGTGGGGCTGCTGGATGAGGAAGGGCTTCTCATCTACGATAGACTCTGCTCCTGGAGACATAGGAGGCTGAGGCTGAGGCTGAGTCTGGTCCTGGGACTCAGAAGGGAGGCTGGCCAACTGGCCTGCCAGGGTGGACAGCTGGTTCAGGGGGTTATCCATAACCATATCATGGTGATGGTGATTTGTCAAGTGCCCGTCCTCCACTGCATGACCCTGACTATCGTACGTCTCCTGGCGTAAGTGGGGCAGCTCATGCGAGAAGTCGTTCACATTTTCCGCCTTGTGCACCACCATAGAAGGGGGGGTAAAGTTGATGAGGAGTCGACGGCCGTAGCCCAGCGAGCTGGCCTTTTTCTGTAAAACACTCAACATCTTCTTGTGGGAAAGCGAGCGAGCACCTTTCATTGGCAGGAGTTTGTGGCGTCGACGGCGATGGTGCGACAAGTTGCTACGATCGCTGCAGCGGAAGGAGCACAGCTCACATTTATAAGGCTTCTCACCTGTGTGCGATCGCATGTGGGCCTCCAGGTGGCGCTCGTAGGCCGAAGCAAATGGACAGAGGTGGCAGCGATGAGGTTTCTCTCCTGTTTAATTGAAGGAAAAAAACAGGCCGATTAACAAAAACGCGTCAATTGCATCCCCTGAAAATGAACTATTAACACTTACCTGTGTGAATTCGGATGTGCTCAATGAGTCTCGCAGTGCCTCTGGTTGCATAGTTGCAGTAGCGGCACTTGAGCTTGCCGTCGTAGGTCCTCTCAAAACCATCCACCAGGATCCCCGAGCTGTCCTCCAGTGACATGTCCACTGAGGGGTGATCCAGTCCATTCTGACTGCAGTCTGCATACAGGACCATTAGCAGGACATTTATGATTACACTTTACTATCGAAGGAAACAAAGGATTCTGGAGGGATTTAAACAGGTGGCATTCCATTGGAATACAAAAAACATGTAGCCCAACACTTCAGTTACATTTGTGTTGAACTGCATACAAGTGGCACTTTGCAAACAGGACAGTGGTTCTCAAATGGTGTGAATCAAGAAATGAATGTATCACAGACAACACATACTGAAGGATCATGGAGATAATTGCACCACATCCAGACGCCTAAAAAGTGTTGAAGATCCATAGACTTGTTGCAAAGAGTGAATGACACACAGCTAGTTACCTGGTGGCAGCTCGTCCTCCTCCTTGACGCCACTGACAGAGCCTGATATCATGTTGACATGCTGAGTCTGCTGGCTCAGATACTCCTGGAAATCCTTCACAAAGTCGAGCGTGTCCGGCTTTTCCTCGCCCATCGAAGCAAAGTGATGCAAATGTCCCACACTACGAAGACGTTTGGACTTGAATTACTGATGCGCAAAGGTTGAGAAAGCCGTTTTTGAAGCTATGCAGATGCAACAGACAGGATGATCCTGGAAATATGTGTCAGACAAGCAGGAAATCGGTGCGATCCGATGTCTGGTCGGTCGCTCTTACACACCAATCCTCATCGTCGTCATGTTGTTTCCAAAGCTACGTACGCTACGTTAGCCAGACAGCTAACGCTAGCTTATGGAGGAGAAAGCATCTTTGTCAACAGCCACGTCGGTATCTGGTCGACACGCTCATTATTTACATCGTATGTTACGCGTTTGAGTAAATCATCAAGAGTACTTAATTGTTTTAAAATTGTCTTTCTGTCGAATCACTTTTAGAACCTGTTAAGTCAAAACAATAAACCAGTTGGAGGGGTGAAAGTTCACTCAGTGTGCACCGCTGAAAACCGTCCCGCGAAGGAAGGTTCCCACCAGTGACGCTTTAATTGAGCTTGTCCATATTACTGTAAGCCTACCAAATCCGCTTTTCATACATGTTTATTATATACTAAACCAGTTTAAGTGAGAAAAAAATTCTGGTTAAAATGAAAGTGTAATCTCCCATTTGAAGTGTCAATAATTCATTTATTCTAATTAAATTTGTCAAAAAACGTCAAATGTCTGGCATGGGCTTAATGGGTAGGCCTAACGTAGCCTTTAAGACAATCTGTGTTCCAATTAACTCCATTTGATTAGTTTATATATATGGATCTTAGCTCTCAATAACTATTTTTCATTTTGTCTCCAGTCCTATCCTGTGGCCTGTAAATGGCATTCTAAAGGCGTGACCAGCCATTTTGCTGTGTTGTTTACGCAGAAAAAGCTAAACTTACAACATGTTGTCTTTAGAATGAAGCCAAAAAAACTATATATAAACAAGCAAAATCATGACTAAAGTGGAAATTACTCTTGACATGTGTTGTCATTTTGTCTGTATCTCTATCGTATGGTGTGCCGTTGGCATTTGAAATTGGCCAAATTGTCTGGTCCAGCCAGCTGTAAAAGTGCAGATGTTTTTACGAGGATTTCTGAAGACCGACTTAATGAAAGAAAAATAGTTTGCAGATTAAACACTAATTGTATAAGTATGGTAAATGATACTACTGGACTCAGGCAAATCACATGTTGCTGTTGTGCATCAATGATCAGCTGCTCCTTTACGACTTCCTGTTACTCTCTAACCTTTTGCCAGAAGAGAGAGATTTCGCATTGTTCCCTCCCTGTACAGACAATTTTTTAGTCATCTCAAACTTGCGGCCCCTTAAAGTCCTTTAGGTAAAAATGTCAATTAAAAAAAATCAATCATGTACTGCATACAACAATGTAAACTAGACATGCTTATCATGCTTTATGTCATTGCAATGAACCATATGCAGCTTCTCTATTGATGCCGTATGTGGTAATAATTCAAATTCAAGGAATATTCAAGGGGCAGTTCAACCCAAAGTAAAAAAGACACATTTCCCTCTTCCCTGAAGTGCTATTTATCAATCAATCTTGTTTTGGTGTGAGTTGGCTAGTTTTGGAGGTATTGGCTGGAGAGATGTCTGCCTTCTCTCAAATATAATGGGACTAAATGGCACACGGCTTGTGGTGCTCAAAGTGCCAAAAGAATACATTAAAAAAACTTAACAGTAATGTCTCTTTCCAGAAATCATGATTACACAAGATAGTCCACAGACTGTTGTGAGCAGTTACATAGGAACTATGGTTGAAAGAAAATAGTTCCTAAATGAAAATGCGTCTTGCATTGTAATTAAAAATACACCTTCAAAAATGTATGTTGTCATCCAAGAACAAGAGCATTTATTTTTTACAGAAGTCTTTTAAACACCATCTCCTGCCACCAAGCTAATAATGTTAACTGATAGCATATCCATTCACATCGGTGACATGACACTTTCAAACGTAGAGCTTGCAATTATACGCAAAGTGACAAATGAGGCACAACAATCGCATTACTTTCAAAAGCTATTGACTCATTCATGTTTTATCACAATCAATAATTTACCAGTAAGCGCTCTGTGAAGATCGCATTGCCCCATTTGTGTCAAAGTTGTAGGAAAACCACTGAGGAGAAGATGATAAACGACTAAGTTGTGTGAGGCTGGCTGCGGTATCCTTTTACCGCGTTACAACTGCTACCGTCAGAGCAATAGTATTACAGCAGTAATGTAAACCTGTCAATTCTGTACTTTGTAACATGAGTGACATGTTTTTGTGTTGAAAGTGTATCTACCTATATAGTGACAGACCGTGTGTATTATGTGTCTGTCTGTCACAGACACAAACAATTATAGACTATTTTAACAGAAAATTCTTTTGACAGGTACACTTGTCCTGCATGTTCACCTGCTGTTGCCTGGCCACTTGTGAGTACAGTTCGACATCTGGACACTAGATGGTGCACATGTCTCAGTGGTGAAACAGGTACTTCCCATTCTACCATATGAGAGAGACAAGTACTCCACATGACACAAGATACAATACATGTGGGCTAGTATTGTTCATAAGTCTTCACCCTGACTTATCAAACTCACACAGACCGTGGCTATCATTGTATAGAAAGCTCAGTGTCCTCTCTGTGTCAGCTATCAGTCCCCGGGGACAGCATGTACAGGACCAGTGGAGGACATGACAGTCGACCTCATCAGTTGAACCATGACCGCAGCGAGAACGGCCAATTACGCCACCTTCTAACAGCCTGTCCACACTAATGTTATTTTATTGCAATTTAATTATGCTCAGGTTTCCACCAGGGCCAGATCCTGTTGAATAATTTACACACAGCCACAATGATTTGTCGACTCCTGAAGACAAAGTGTGCACTTCTCCGTGTGCTCACTTGTTTGAATAGTTTTGTTTTTAATTCCTTTTAATATTAATCATTAAAACAATAATCTTATGTTGTATTTCCAACCAGGCATTTCCTGCAGTTAGAGCCAATGTAGCCTTTGGTTTGGAGGACAGATTTATTTTAGGGGGATAATTGGTCAAACTTAATTTCACATTAATGACATGTCCACATGTTAAACTGTTCTTTTAAAGGGCAGTGAGCATTTATTAATGAGAATAAGAGCAGGTAATACTCTAATAGGTTTTACTGGGTCTGGCATTTACACCCAATAATGCTGCGTTCGCACTGATGGAAACTTGAGTACAAGTGACTCCAGCTTTGTTGAAAAACTATGGATGTAATATAAATCAAACACGCTAATCCAACATTTCTGTCTATTTTGATACAATTGACACAATTGCTCATATACTTAACATTTTGTAAAGGCCTGACTTGAACTCAAAACCTTCACAAAACTAATCTAAATAATATGAGCGCGTGTACATATACACACAGGCTCGTGTAGAATGGGCTCAGGGACAACACCTGTCTTTGAGAAGGTTGCAGTGTTATCCACTTGCTCTGATTCACATTTAAAATGCCTGAATGAAAAGGTTCCCTTCTCCTCTTAACCGCTTGATTTACAGGCTGTTTGTGGTTTAACGCCACACAAGACAATTGATTTGCTCCTCCTCTCCTGAAAGAAATTGGAATTTAATTTAGAGAAGGTCTTAAGCAGTTTTTAAAGACTTGATGTCATTTGTTGGGCTCGTGTAAAAGCTGCATTAGAGATTACCCTTCTGGAAAAGCTTTTCAATCCTAGACAAGTGCAGCCATAGTAACGGTAGACAGGAGCCTCTTGGAGGCAGAAAGGTGAAGGGGGACTTTGACAAGATTTATTCTTCTCCTACTGAGACTGTTTCTTTCTTGAGGTCTCCGGCTCCACGAGTAGCATTTGAAAAAGAACTGAGAGGTGGGGGATAGGATAAAGGAGGTATATATTAAGCTTTTCTTTCCTCTCACCACTTAATTTCCTTGCAGGCGCGGCTTGCGCCGTTGTAATGAATGTAATTGCCGCCTTTGATGAGAATGCTATTATCTGGATCACACTTTACATGGGCAAACAAGACAGCCCCTCCCTCCACCTCCACCTCCCATTTAACTCAGCAACGAGACCCCCCAATTATGCAGGGAACAAGTGGCTTTTCATAAAGCCAGCATGTCGCTCTTGATTGGTGAGGCTTGGAGCCGGCTACATGTGGACAAAGGATAGATTAGATGTGATATAGGCACACCAAAAATCCCATATCCTTGATTAATTTCCTGCATGCCTCACAGAAAGGGCCCACTCTCTCCCCGCTGAATTCTATCTCTCCTTTAAAGACAAACTTTCATCTTTTGATAGATGTGGCAACTCAATGGACAGACAGACACTTTATTGACCCAAGTTTGACCACAGCTGCCTGGGCTTTAGAAGGGAACGTGGCGAGAAAAAGAGAAATGTTTCACTTCAGCGTGGGAGGATAATGGGCTTATTTTTTTTATAAAAAGCTCAAAATCTTACAGTATTTCTGCCCTCAGCCAGGATCAACTCACTTTTCATGCTGATCTTTTTGTGCTCTCATGTCATTACCCTCAGCACACACACACACACACACACACACACACACACACACACACACACACAGTCATCCTCTTTCTCCGTCTTTCACACACCCACACACAGAAGCACGCTAAAGACCCATTTGATAATAGTGGCGAACAGATATGATGGGACTTTATGAGGCGATGCCCGATAAAGCTGCTGTCACCTTAGGAAGTCTAAGTGTTCTTCTGACTGCCTTATTACCGTATTAAAGCACCACTCGACGCATTCACACACACCTCAGCCTGGCTCTGACAACCCAGCGTGATTCTGTCCAATATTCCACCAGGCTGAAATATCGAGAACAATCAAATAGACTGTCACAAGTGACAAATTATACTATTACTCCTCAAAGATTGTCATCCTTGAAATGTATTCATAGCCATTTCTTCTTTATTGGTGAGTGATTACTCCTCAAAGCAAGCAATTCCCCAATGATTAATTGGTAATCAATTCATTTGACTATCATGCTTTGAGAATGGCTCCAAGGGATCAGCAGCATTGATCACTCGAAATCACGTGCATATATATATCCAACAGTAACTCATGGTACTGTTGGGTATGATGGATGCCAGCTGCCCGACCACCTGACTCTTAATGGTTTATACCATCAGAAACAGGTTGCCATCCGGACCCAGTCACGACGGAGAAAGAACTGGCCAATATTTTTGACTGAAGTGGCATTTTAGCAGTATTTATTTGATAGTGTTACTACCAAAAGCATGGGCCACAAATAAAGAAGATAGTATGATAGCTTTTGACTGGCCAGCCAGCTCCCGACTCGAAATGAGGTGTCCAGTTGTGAGTTATTGTGGCCAAACGTCATTTGTACAGCCTGAAAAGTGGGGACATTTTTCTAGCTTGTCACTCTATGGCTATAGCTCATTGTCCTGAATGATGCCTCTGAACGCACAGTTGC